TCGGGCTTGAAGGCGATGTTGGTCACAGTGGAAGAGCTGGTCTTGACGGGTGGGTTGGCCATGTTCTGGACGAAGAGGTCGTTCCAGAAGGAGCCGAAGGACATGACGAACTTGGATCCATCCCAGTATAGCGCACCATCAATGGCGTTGTAGTTCTTTCCCGCGCTCGACTGAATGCCAGTGGCACCAAGGTCGGTCCAGGTGTTCATGTCCTTGCTAGTAGCAACACCAATGGCAGAGTTCTGGACTCCGAAAGACGATACAGTGTAGTACAGGTAGTATGTGTCGCCGACCAGGGTCACGTCAGGAGCCTGAGTTCGTTAGTTCGTCTTCCAGTAAGCGTATACATGACAGAACGTACCCAGAGATCGTCCTTTCCAGCCAAGTTGATCTTGGAACCAGCGGGGATCGCGGCACCCTTGTAGGACCACGGACCGGTGATCGAAGGCGCGGTGTGAATAGCAATCTTACCACCCGTAGAGAAACGGTAGTAAGTGCCATCGGCGCGACGGATAAGGGCCGGGTCGTGAGCGTTGTTGCAGATACCGGAACAGGCCATGGGGTCAGCATAGCCGTAGACGGCGGTAGCAGCCGAGAGCAACGAGGCGACGATAGAGTAACGCATCCTGGCGATTGGTAGCGAATGGAAGAGGAAACAAGAAGCAATAGATGAATGAAACAAACAGACAGTGCCTGGTCATCATCCTATATATTACCGGTGGTACTTTTAGACCTCTTGAAGATTCCCAATGCGGACCATCCCGAAACCTTTGGCGTGGACTAGACGTGGAGAGGTGAGATTGCCAGTCCGGCGCTGACCTGCATCCTGAATGGTGGAATCGACATTCTCGGTATGTGCATGAAGAAGCCGGTACGGAGAATTGGTCAAAAAGTGTCTAGGCCTGCATGTCCAGGCAATCTAATGTGAGGGGTGCAGTTGGTGTTTCACGTTTTGCAGGTCTGCCGCGATGCCTGACTGGTGGATCGTACGAGAAAGCGCTCCACGTGTAGAGGCTCAAGGGAGGGGCCTGCACTGTGTCGGATAGCGACCGGGTCGAAATTAGTTAAGTGTTGACACGCGCCACATCCATACCTGATCCGCCCACACGTGTGGCTGTCCGCACGTTACGGCACGGGCAGAGTGAAACGTGCCGGGTCCAAGGGATGGGTTTGTGGCGCGCCATAATATCGAGCAGTTCCAGAACTGATCTCCTCGCTCCAAAAGCCTCAAAAGGTTCAACAAGACGTTGGGAGCTGAATGGAACGACCTGTGGATGTTGTGCAAGGTGCAGGTGGTAAGCGCATCATGTTCGTGGTCGTGAAATGTTCCGAGGCTTCTTTCCTAGCCGCCGCTAGCTCCTTATGGCCCATCGTCTCCTGCTTCTTCAGGCTACCATCCTCCGCAAAGATCTTCGTCGCGCATGCATCCATCGCAAGACCAAAGGCATCCATCGAACTCTATCGCAATGGCGAGTGTACAGTATCCGTTTGTTGATTCTCTATGGTCATGCGGGCCGACATAGATCTACCGAATCTGGAAGATCTCACCGCTCACCGCCGAAACAGAACTAGTGGGCAGTCCATGGATGTCAGACGGGGATACTAAGGGCATAGCTCTTACTTACCTCCATCAACCCTTGGCTTTGTTGCTATCCGATTACTATTACAAGCTCAACACCGAAGACCGAGAGTGTCATCTCAACACTATACTTGGAGCGCCGAAAAGGCTCGGCAGAATGAGGCTTGCAAGCACGGGCGAGGGAACAGCAACGGCAACCAACGTAGTACTCTTTTCTCATCATTGCGGTATGACAGATTTGTTGCGGAAAATATTGCTACGAATGAATGACTGATTACATATATCCAATCTAACTCTTGCAAACGAATGAAATGATGCTGACGTTGACTCGAGAAATCTTACCACAACTCTGACCGCTTCGTTCCAGGTCGACCCCAGATCGCGCCATGAATACATTCTAAGGAATGAAGACGTCGAAGGCAGACACTGGCGCGCCGCTTTGACTTACACCGCCTCCAGGGACGTACACCTTCCTTTCCACGCCGACAGCATACGTGCCATGCCTAGGAAGCTTCATCTTTCCAGCCTTCGCCCATCGATCCCGCACGGTATCATAGACCTCGACCTGATCAAAGACTCCGGTGTCCGATAGCGTGTTGCCCTCACCGCCGAAGACGTAGATATCCTTCCCGATAACACCAGCCGCGACACCACCCCTAGCCGTAGGCATGCGCGCCGAGCTAGTCTTCCAACCGGCTTCCAGATCACAAAGATTGAGGATGAAGACCGTGTCGCGAAGATTTTCTTGTCCGCTGTCCCGTCCGCCGAGTACGTACATCTTTGAGCCCACAACTGCGGCTCCAGCGTGGTCTCGGGCTTCTGGGATATACTTCGCAGCCTCTGGAACGGCAAGCCACGTTCTGGTCCCGGTATCGAAGATGGAAACAACGAAAACACTGCGCTGACTGCTATGTTCGACGAGCTCAAGCTCCGACATGCCGGCCGCGAGATAGATCTTGGACTGGTAAGTGCCTACAGCCGCACTACCTCTTTCTTCGCCGGTGGGTAGACCTGGAATCGATTCCCATGCATCTGTGAGAGGGTCGTACATCCATGAGTCTGGTACTGCGCCCCATACCCTTTTTGTCTCGTTGCCCATCTCTGCCAGGCCACCTAGAACGTATATCTTCCCGTCCACAACGGCTGCGTTGGCGTGGTTGAGACCTCGTGGCATGCTCGCTTTCGTGGTCCAGGTGTTGTTCGTGATTGAGTAGAATTGCATCAGAGAGGTAGTGTCTATAGGTGGAAAGGATGTATTGGATGGGATAATACCGCCAAGAATTGCGATGGTAGATGATGGGAGGAATACTGTGGAGTGTTCCTGACGAGAGAAAAGAGGGATAGGGGCGAGTGATTTCCATACGGGCGAGAGATCCTTGGAAGGCATGGATGATGCAAAAGTGACAAGCCAGGCTATTGCCAACAGCATAGGGCTGAAGATGGATAGATGCATGGTCGTTGTGTAGGGTTTTGGACGGTTGTTGTGGTAAGTGGGTAATGCAGTATATTGCAGCTAAGATGTGAGATGCTTGAGTGTTTATATATTCTTGACATCGCTATAGTTGAGGGAAGACTTACATGGCTATGTTAACAATGAAGGAGATGTTGAACATTGTCCTGACAAAGCCGACTGGAAGCCCGCATCTCCGAGTGACGAAATCGGACATGGGCGGAATTTGAAGATCAGCCGGCTGCGCAATACGCCCTGCCGTACCAAGCCTTGGAGAAAAGCGCTTGCAGCGGAACTTGCGAATCCTCATCCATCCACCGATATACTTACGCCTCAGCGCTCTGTCGGAATATCTCCTCCGAGTGTTCTTTCCAGATCGTGAAATGCGTCTTGCCCTCGAGCGTCCGCAGTCTTCCGCCCCCCAATCTCTGATCGATCCACTGCGCAACCTTCAACGGCGCCTGCGCATCCTGATCGCCATGTACTAGCCAAACCCGTTCGCTGTCTACGTCCTTCAGATCAAAGCCCCATTCTCTCGTAAGCACAGCACCATCCTGCATGCATCCGCCAGCGCCTTGCTTGAAAGCCTCAAGTAATGATGCGACAACGTCGTCAAGGTTGGTCTCTCCGCTGTTGTCGCTAAATTGCTCTTTCTCTTCTGGAGTCTTGGCTTGGTCTTCGAGGACACACTTGAGGCGAGAAGGGTCTCTAGTGAGGTAGGGACGAATGAGGATATAAGGCAGAAAGACACGGAGAGCCGCTTGTCGTAGCAGCCATGGAGTCATGCCCATGAGCCGCCATGATAGATAGGGCACAGTGTCTAGAAGTGCCTCGATGGGTCCAATACCGCACACTACAGTCGTCGCCCGAAGTCGTTCTTTGGGAATGAAGCGTGCGCAGGCCAATGCGTATGGTCCGCCTCCGCTAGCACCCAGTACGCCGAAGCGCTCGATATTGAGATGGTCTGCAAGGCTCACAACATCCGCGGGCCACTCAACGAGACCACGATCTGCGAGAGTCGAGTCTCCACAACCAGGACGATCAATGGCGATGAGACGCGCGCCGATTTCCCTGCAGAGTTTGTCCCAGCTCCTCCCGACCAAACGGCAGCCTGGAAGACCGTGAAAAAGGAAGATGACAGGGTGCGAGGGGTTCATAGATCCATAGGTTGCGAAGCCAAGAGTGCGCCCGTCAGAGAGGCTGAGCACTTGGCATTCGTTGAATCGGAGTTGCAGTTTGGCCGGATCTGGGGGCGATGAAGGAGCTCGATCCCAGAAGAGTGTGAACATTGTGTCAAGGTTGTTGTATGGATTCTGTTGTTCTTGGGGTTCATAGGTAAGTTCGCAGTGATGAGATGATGGACGTGGAAGGTGCGAAGCTCATGGCCCATATAGCTTTCAACGACGTAAACTTCCCGGAACCTTGCTGAAATGGCGATATACAGATTTCATATTACACACGGTGAGCGGAGCGCCGCTGTATGATGCACCGATGAAGATGGCTGGCTGTCTCGCAGTCTCACATCGCGCGTGATCTCCTGAATAAGCATTAATGACTGCAGCCTACTGCACGTGAGACAAAGAAGCCGTCCGCGGCAGTCGCACTAGCAGTTGAACAGTCAGTTGCTGCTCTCTGAGATGTCTCCTTGACATCGCGAGGTTGATAGCGGTGGTGGTGATCCATGGATGGGTTGACGATGACGACGCCCGCGGAGCCGCTAGCTCAGGGTCGGAGGATCGGCACTTAAGCCTATCTTTAGCATGTGCATCACCACGGGGCTCCTTCTTCCATCCCACCTGGTCGCATTCGCTGTGTCTATTGCATACCGTCTGTCTTTTTTGTTTCTTGTATTGTCGATACATTCTTGTCCTATTCAATTGCTCTTTTGCATCCTCGGATGCTGGCCCTGTGTTCCGCGGCGCAGCAGTCGCGTTTCTTCCATTTTAGTTTGAGATACCCTCAATAGACATTATGAGCCCCATTATCCGACGCATTGCTGTGCTATTTGTATTCGCTACCTTTGTCATCCTTGCCTTTCGTCAACTCAGCGCCCGAAACGGACTCCCTCTGCCGACCTTCACCTCGTCGACCCGAATCGATCACGCCGTGCAATGGAAGAGCATACCGGTGCGAAACCCGGTATCATCGCTAGCTCCTCTCCCCACTGGCGCCCCGGTCGCCATCCCGAGAATCCAACATGAATTTGGCATTGAGACGGAACACACCAAGGCGGAGAGATTGCATAGACAAGCTGCTGTAAAGAAGGCATTCTTACACAGTTGGGGAGGATATAAGACCCACGCGTGGCTACAGGATGAAGTCACTCCGGTAACAGGAGGCTTCAAGAACGGCTTCGGGCAGCGAGGAGCAACTTTAGTTGACACCCTGGATACCTTGATCATCCTAGGGTTAGAAGAGGAATTTGAGGAGGCCGTACATGCCATCAAGAAGATTGACTTCACCACTGCAGGTGTCGCGCGTCTGAACGTCTTCGAGACTACGATCCGCTATCTGGGGGGTCTTCTGAGCGCATACGATCTAAGCAAGGCGAAGCACCATGCATTACTACACAAGGCGACCGAGTTGGGGGATATGCTCTACGCCGCCTTTGACACGCCGAACAGGATGCCCATCACCCGATGGGACTGGGAGAAGTATGATTGCGCCATGTCACCGACCCACACAGACTAACAGGAATCAGTGCTGCTTTAAACGGCCACCAAGAGGCTGATACGCAAGCGCTCAGCGCCGAGATAGGATCGCTGTCACTCGAATTCACCCGCTTGTCGCAGCTTACCGGCGATGCGAAGTACTACGACGCGATAGCGAGAATCACCGACGTGCTCGAAAAGCATCAGAACCGGACGAAGATACCTGGCTTATTCCCAATACTGGTCAGTCCAGGTCGGGAGGAATACAACGTCGACGGATCATTCACAATGGGTGGAATGACTGATTCGCTGTACGAATACTTGCCGAAGCAGCACTTGCTCCTCGGGGGTCTGACAGACCAATACCGGAAGCTATACGAGCGCGCCATCGAGCCAGCGAAAGAGCATCTGTTCTTCCGGCCCAGGATACCCCAGGGTGACAACATCCTCGTCTCTGGCGATGCGCGAATCAGCACCTCAGGCACTGTCAAGCTCGAACCCAACGGCCAGCACCTCGCTTGCTTTACGGGTGGCATGGTTGCTTTGGGCGCAAAGATCTTCAATCGGACGGATGAGCTAGACGTCGCTCGCAAGTTAGTGGACGGGTGCACCTGGGCTTATGATACTATGCCTACGGGTATCATGCCGGAAACCTTCCGGATGATGCCGTGCTTTGGAGAAGAAGATTGCGCGTGGGATGTGGAGAAATGGCATGCCTCTGTCAGGTACTCTTACTCTAACAACATCCACGCGGAGCATTATGACGTTCAAGACGTCATCAAGGAGGTAGGGCTGCAACCGGGCTTCTCTAAGATTGGGGACCCGCGATTCTTGTTACGGTAAGTATGCGCATCACTTCTGACGTGCGTAGCTAACATCAGTCACAGCCCAGAAGCCATCGAATCAGTATTCGTCCTCTATCGTATCACCGGCGACACCACCCTCCAAGACACTGCCTGGCGCATGTTCGAGGCCATCAACAACGCCACTCATGCAGAGTTCGCTCATTCTGCCATCGCCGACGTCACAATACCACAAGGGCAAGAGACACTCAAGTTGGATGAATGTGAAAGCTTTTGGATGGCGGAAACTCTAAAGTATTTCTATTTGATCTTCAGTGAGCCAAGCCTTGTCAGCTTGGACGAATATGTATTGTGAGTATGATCTTTGTGATATTGAAGATGACGCTAACGATTCTGCAGCAACACTGAAGCACATCCACTGCGCCGGCCGCATTAGAAAAATGGCATCACCTATCATGAGCGTATATATCAATTTACTCAGAATCTAAATTTACACCATTCGTGTACTACCATAATGGATTCTCCAGAAGTATATTACCGAAAATGGAATGGTAGGGGCAGGTCACGCCCTCGTTCCCATCAACCCGACATCTGCACATTGGACAGATCATGTTCGTCTCCAAGCTATCGATTAGACACTGCCTTCCAAAGACATGCCCACATGGAGTTCTGACAGGGTCGTTATCCGGCCTGTTCTCACAAAAGGGCAGAGCATAGCTCGCATGTAAGCGCTCCGTGATTTCTCGCTCTTCATCGTCGAGGCAAGTGGCGATCGTTGGACCCTCCTCGTCTGTGGTGCTGCCAAAATGAAGCCAGCAAAGCGGACATTTCATGTCATCAGGTTCGATACTGGCAATGTCGACTTCCTCCAGTGTCTCGACGAGAGCGACAGCGACTTCCACGCGTGTTGTTCGAGTTTGATGGCGAATAGGTCCAAACATTGCTTCAGAGTTTGCCATTTCCCAGTCCAAAGCGTCTTGGATCTGTTCTTGTTCCCATTGCTCCTCGGCCATGTGGTCGGCGAATAAGTCGGATAAGGCAAGTTGAACTGGTTGATGATGATGGTGATGATGATGATGATGGGGAACTTGCGCAAAAGAAGCCGTGAATGTCGGGAAAGGGTGGGAAGAAGTCGTTAATGTCGGGAAAGGGTGGGAAGACGTCGTCGCGGGGACAACGAGAGCTTGATGCGTATCCAGATTATCTAGAGTCGGGAGATTCGCGCCCGTGGCATTCGCGAAGCCGTAGGAGAAGAATGGTGCATCTCCGAACAACGCTGCAAGGGGTTGGTTTATCACGCCGCCTGTGGCGGGTAAGACGTGTCCTTGTCCATCTAGATGAGCCGTGTTCGACGGAGGCTCTGGTGAGACATGTGAGACGAGTGCCATGCTTTGGTCGAGCTCGCTCTCTAGCGATTCTAGGGATTGCTCTTCTTCTCCGTTGGATGTCGTTGGCGCTGGGCTAGCATCTGTCGTAGTCGGAGGCATGTCTCCGGTGAGGTCGTCTTGTGTGCTGGAGACAACGGTACCAGATTCATTAGCGAAAGAAGAGAGCTGTGGCGGGGTTGATGACATTCTGATATATTGGTTGGGGGTGAGATGTGATGAACCGTGTATCGAGGTGTTTCTGAAGGTATATATGGAGCCTGCAGAGGAAGGCAGAAGTGAAGAAGGTGATTTTGGAGCACTGTGTGGCTCAGGCGCGAAGCCCTTACGGTGATCTTCACCGGTGAATGCGCTCTTGGCCTGCGGCCTACTCGACCTTGAACAGTGTCAAAGTAATTGCTTTCCTGAGCGATTATCCCTACCAGAACTGCGCGCGGCAATCAGTTCACAACTAAGTTGAACCGAACAATGGGAAACACATTCACTACGCAACAAGAGTCGGTAGTTCCTACTACTATTCCCTCTAGCAAGCCCGACCCTCTCGTTGCTGTGGAAGCTCCCATCTTGTCTTTTACTGTTGACGAATTCGTATTCGCCTACCTCCAAGGCGTGCGTACGAAATGTATGTTCCACAAAACCGGGCGTCCATTTTTAGAGGATGCTGTCTACCATCCACCCTGGGTTGGTACCACAGCCGAAGACATGTACGATGAGATGATCGGGGTCGGCATCAGTCCACTACAATGGTGTCAAGCCAACCTTCCGGAATTGATGTTAAAAGACAGCTTCATCACCCGCGTCGCCCCCATCGAAGACGAAGAACCCAACCTCAATTATAAAGGCATGAGTTTCTCGCATTGGTCGTTCCTAGAGACGTTAAATGAAGCGGATATCGAGCTCCGTTCAGCTATCCCTAGCGCGCATCCTACCGTCGGCAGACCAATTCCTGATCGGTTCGCGCTGCCGCAAGCCTGGTGTGTAGGCATGTACAAACTAGCGGCCATGCTGGATGAGATGCACAATGCGGGTATAACGCCCCATCAGTACGTAGCGGGCACGCCCATGCTACTTGACTACTCGTCTACCTCTCCATTCATGGTTTGTATGGAGATGGATACTTCTCTTAGGCTACCCGAGTTACAAATCGCCTTCCGAAATCGCTGGATCGTTCAGTATATGATGGACTGCCTTGGTCTTATCTGGAATCATGTGGATGACCCGGCGAAGCACCCATTATGTCATGTCTTCGTACGCATACCAGTATTGTCCGAGCCGATATGGTTTGCGCACGTACGACCGATGCTTGCGCAGTCCAAACGCGACTTCGTTCGTTCGCTTCCGGTGATTGACGTCGATTCAATTGCAAAAGAGGATATGCGATGCCCTCACTGTTGGTGCAACTTTGATGAGGAGGACGAGGATGGGAAAAGAGACAGTCCGGTACACGCTCCGTGTCCATTTGGCCACGTGTACGGTAAGTCTTGCTTACTGGAGCTCATGCTTCACATGGAACAGGAAATGCTGTGCCCGCTCTGTCGCAAGGAGTGGCGTATATGAGCTGTTCAGCTTGGGTGGCTGGAGGACATTAGTCGAGTACAAGTTAGCAAGCGAAATGGTCTGTTCACTGCTACATCTTAAGATAGTGAGAAGAAACCCTGAATTCGACTACATGCTGGACGAATGCCGAGACTTTCCTAGACGGTCTTAGCGTTAGCCATGCAACTCTACACCCTGGGGCCGATGACTGACTTCCTATAGGAGTAATTATTTTGTCCGTCACTCTCTTTACCAACCTCTGCAGATTTGTATTGATTGCTGATGGACGCCTTGAAGGAGTGCGGGGTTTCGTACGCCCGGCGGCAACATACAGCCCAAATGTACAATGACGTCGTAAGCCTGGACCAATAACCAACGCTTCTCCTTCATGCTTGAAGACGCGATTGGCTTACTACTCTTGGTTCGCAGCGTGTGTAAGATTTTAGCAGAGCCGTTGTACCGATCTGACAATCTGTTGTCTGTAATTCGAATGGACGCCTGGAACAGGAGCGACTCGTTCGTCATCTTCCGGTCAAGGACTGCGAACCTCACGCTTCATATGGCGGCCTGAGAGGCTATAAAGCTCTGCATTCGTATCTTTCCAATGGAAGTTACTTCTTATTAGTATAGACCCAGGAATAGCTTCGTAGAGTCATGATCAAGTTAATTGCCGTTATTGGGGTCACCGGAAATCAGGTATGCGCCAATATATCGACAACCACTCCAGATGAACACGACACTAACTAAGCATAGGGTGGTTCAGTTGCTCGCACGTTCCTGAACGAGCCCGAGTGGAAAGTTCGCGGCATCACTCGCGACACTTCCAAAGCGTCCGCCACAGAGTTGTCATCTCAAGGCGTTGAAGTCGTAGCAGGCAACCTCGATGACCTAGAGTCGCTGAAGAATGGGTTCAAGGGGGCAAATGTCATATTCGGAAACACTGACTTCTGGGGTCACCTGAATGATCCTGCGACACATAAGCTTGCAGCCGAACAGAAACGTACAGCAAACGAAGTGGCATATGACCGAGAAGTTGCTCAAGCCAAGGCTATCATCGATGCAGCAGCGGCTCATGCCGGCACTCTGGACCGTCTCGTGTTGTCTACGCTTTCTGAAGCTAGGAAATGGAGCAACGGTACCATCAAGTGGAACTTGCACTTCGATGCAAAGGCTGAAACCGAAAATTACCTGAAAGAGACATACCCGGAGCTTTCCGCCAAGACGAGCTTGCTGCACTTGGGCTCCTATGCAAGTAACTGGAGACCAGAGAAGAAGGAAGACGGCTCTTTTGTTCTTAGTCTACCCATGAGTGGAGACAGGAAGATCCCCATAGTCGATCCGGTTGCAGACACTGGTCAGTTTCATTGGTCTTCGACATAGCCACCTGCTAATAACCCCAGGGCGTTTCACGAAGGCACTCGTTGAGTTGCCACCAGGAACACTTCTGAGCGGCGCTGGATCGTTCATATCGCTTGGTGAATGGTGCGACATCTTCGGGAAGGTGAACAACGTGAAATGCGTCTTCAAGCAGATACCTCGAGAGGCCATTGAAGAAGCGATGGGACCCGTATACGGTCCCGAAATTGCCGACATGTACGAGTATTTCGATAAGTTTGGCTTCGAAGGGGGCATTCCTGATGTTGTGTTTCCGTGGGACCTGGGCATCGACGTGAAGTACACGTCCATGGAAGAGTACCTGAAGGGCGAGAACTGCAGCATCGTTTTGTGAGTTCGCGCATCCACCAGCGATAATTACAGCACCTAACGGAGCGCTTGGTCGTGGAGAAACAATGGGCCTGTGTCGCAACGTGAGGCCGGGCGATAACGCTTGGGATTGTTATCTCGTGGGGCCCATGGCCCGTGCAACTAGCGCAGAATGCCAAATCTCCAGTCGTTACCTACAACCTTCCCACACCCATTGACACTTTCACCCACGCTAAGATCTAGCAGCCAGGGTATCTGGCTTTTACAGCGGCTACTCATTCGTCCGGGATGTATGTCATCTTCGATCCTTCCACGTCATGTCCTCGATACCAACTCTTGATGTTTGCATGGAGACCTCAGAGCTCTACGAGTGCATGGCGGCGTAATACATCACGAACTCTAAGAATAGAGGCAATTCTACATTATCATGACAGTAGGGTCCTAGGCTTCGACCGCTCTCGTCAAAGCCAATCCATGGACTGAACAAAAGTCACGCGCATTGCATGACTACCCACCGAACTGATCCGACGTCAACCCCAAGATAGTCCATCGAATCGAATTGCATCCTGGCATCACGCCATAAAAGCACTAAGACAGCCGTACCCGAGAGAAAGGCAAGCCATGGGACTTCTTCACCACAAGCGGTATCAGCGCGTCCGGGGTATCGATAGCGACTGCATTACCGACAGCGGGGAAATTCTAGAGCCGCCCCGAGATGCGCCGTACGCAACGCTTGAACTGGCAACAAGGCGGACGATAAAACCACTGGACGAGAGCCATGTCTACCCTTACGCCCTACGCCAAGATGCTTGGGGTTCCAATACTATACAAGGTTAGGGTCGTTGGGTTACACAGCGGGCGATCTACGGTGATAGGCCCCACCACAATCATGGTAGTGATATGCGTACAGACATCCCAACCTAGGAGTTACAGTCCATACTTCAGATGAGAGACATCATCGTGCTGTTCGCTTGGGTCCAATCGTGGCGCGGTCATTACCTGTTTAGGGTAGTCTTACAGGTCGCTTCGCACATCTATGCAGCAGTCATCCCGCCCCGCATCGTAACGATAAGACAATCAGACCTCATTTCCGATTGTAGAACGTCTCGGGTGAAGCCTCGCTCTTGTCAACTACTACAATATTTCCGAAGCTAAGCTATCGCTGCCGTCGTTGACTCAGCGTTCATCGTCATCCATCTCCACCGACACTGCTTGCATTAAGAAGAAGGAAGAGCGCCAGATCAATCGCTGGTCAGGGTATATCTTTATCTTGCCAATCATCTCACGGTCATCGATCATGGCTACCAACATTTCATTGCTGTTGGGGGCAGCTTTTCTGCTCAGTTCAGTCTTCCTGCTGATCAAGCGGGGAAGGCGCAACATCATCCTACAACGGCTTCGTAGCGGCGGACGAAGGGTATCAGGCGCAAAGACTCCTCCAAGGTCTTTGTCTCCAGAGAAGAGGGCAGCGTCCATTTCCCCGATTGATCACGTCAGCACGTTCCCACCATCACGACGATGTGCCTTGGTTGGAGATGCGAAGACAGAAAAGGCTGAAGAACTGTCGCCAGACTGGCAGAAGAACGTCTTGCCGATGGAAGCATCATATCTGGATGCCGATGACTCTACATACCTTCCATGTGGCTTTTCTGTAAAGGAGATCAGAGCCTTCGGCGATTTCCCAGACTACGCTACACTCAGCGGCGTGCCTCTACCTGATCCGTACCCAGAATTCGACATCAAAAAGGCACTGCCCCGGCCATATAGACCGTTCCGGTGGTCTTACCATCAAACAATGTGTAAGTAGTATCGATAGCTGCACCTAGTCCCATACTGATCTCAAATAGCAATCACCAAGATGCAACCTGACTGGTGGATCGAACTCGAGAACACATACGAAGAGCGAATTAAGCAACGGCAATTTCTGTTCGCAAAGCACGGTGAAGCGGTCCTTCAAGCTCTACCAGGCTCGGAGCTTGCCTGCAAAGAGCTCATGGAGATGGTATTGCAATTCGTGTGCGTCAGGTACCCACATTGCTTCCACTTATCGGCGGACAACAAGACATTTCACAATGGCATATTAAAGACAGACACCGATCTCACCACCACGCCACCCTTGCACGTTCTCCTGAACAACATCCCCGAAGACTTCGCCATCATGCTACGAAACGACAAGACAGGACTATACGTGTTTCGAGCAGGCATCATTTGCAGTGCGCTAGGTTGGAACGTAGGCTCCAAGATCGGTCTCGAACTCGCCGACATACACAAACCCATTCCAGACTATAAGGAGAAGATGCAGTTCTCCATGGACAGGTACGTCCCCTCAACAATCCCCACTATCTCATGCTAACCCCAATACCACAGATACTTTGCCAAAAAGCCGACAGACAAACCCATTCAGCGCGGCTCCTGGGGCCTAGAGATTGACACACCCCTCTACATGCCCCCCGGCGACCCCCACGAGGCTGTCCGCAAGCAACAACTTCCCACCTCTGAACTTCCTACATCCCGCATTCACCTCCGCGTAGACTGGCAAACACTACGTCGACTTCCGCTGTCAGGCGCCGTCGTGTTCAATTTCAAAGCGCTATTTACCCCGATTGAAGAGTTTAGAGAGGAGAAATGTGTGCCGGGGTTGTTGCTCAAGGTGCTTAATGAGGGGAAGAAGGAGTTGATGGAGTATAAGGGGACGTGGCATGTTGAGCATGTTGTTAAGCCCAAGTTGGTAGAGTGGCATAGAGAACAGGTTGAGAAGGGGTTGGTGAGTGAGGACTGGGAACCCCAGACTCTAGATGAGAGTCCTTGGTTTGAGGGCTGGGAGGGGAAGTGGAGGGAGAGGCAGGGGTTTTGAGGTGATGACGAGTTAAAGTCGGATGAAGAAGACAATTGCATATCGCGCATGTTACTCTGATATTACTTGTACATAGCAACTACGTCTCAGGTCGCGTTTTTAAGTTCGCAGCCCAAGTCTCTTAGGTAACTTACCTCGATAAACCCACGCCGCACCCGCAGCAACCGCACTCAACGTTCCAAGCACTAACGTCGTGTTACTCACCAGCGTCTCCTCGCGTACCCTACCAATCTTCGTCTCCTGCTTCCCCGTCCCGAAAACGACTTTACTCGCACTAACACCACCAATAGCAGTCGCACTCGCCTCCTTCTCTCCCTCGTCAGTAGTAGCCGTCGTCTCGAAATCCTCCCAATCAATCTTAGCAAGCTGCTCCTGGTACTCGACGACTGTCCCGGACCAGTTGTTGGTAATCCGCCCCTCCTTGTTCTTATACCAACTCATGCAATTTGGGTCTGCAAAACTGCTGTTCTTCAAGATCTGCTGGATACTTTCGTTCCACTCGTGCGTCCTATCTTCTTTGGGCATGATGCCCATTCTTTGACCGCGGTTTCGCGCATCGAGAACGGCAGAAACGAGGGTGTTGAGGTAGCGAGACTGTGCTTCGATCATCAGGATGATGGAGTTGTGACCTAGGTTTGTATTGGGGCCGTAGAAAAGACCGAAGTTGGGGAGAGAGGGAATGGTAGTGCCGTATAGGGCTGTAGCACCGGAAGACCAGATGTCTGCCAAGGGGCGCGAGTTGGCTCCGGTGACTTTGATGGGGTGGAGGAATTCGACTGTGCGGAAGCCGGTTGCGAGGACGATGGTGTCGTGCTCATGGTGGGTGCCGTCTTCGAGTTCGATGCCGGTTTCTGTGATGCGACGGATTTTGTTTGTTTCAAGCGTTGTCTTGGGATTGGCTACGGCGGGGTAGTAGTCATCGGATATGATGACTCGTTTGCAGCCTGGGCTGTAGTTTGGTGTGAGTTTCTCCCACAGTGAAGGCTGGTCGGGGATTTGTGTCTTCATCATCTCCATGCAACTGCTTCGAATCACTTCTGCGAACTCGCTCTTGCTATCAGTGACGGCGTCGTGGAAGGACTCCCGGAAATCCATCATGGAACTGCGTATGCGCCAGCGAACTGGAGGTAGGTAGCGCAGTACGGCACGTTTGAGAGCGCCAACGGGACCGTCGAGACGCGGGATGACCCAGTTCGGGGATCGTTGGTAGATGGTCAGGGACGAGGTTTGCGGAAGGATTTCTGGGATGATCTGAGCAGCGGTAGCACCTGTATCTTTGTCAGTGTTCGTTCCTCCAAACAAATGCCATTGCGCGTACCGTTGCCGATTATGCCCACACTCCTGCCCTCAAGCCTGTGGCTCCAGTCCCAGCGTGCTGAATGCATGATCTTGCCCCTGAAGTTCTCCAACCCCTCGATATCGGGATATTGTGGCTGGTTGAGCTGACCGACAGCTGAGACCAGGAAGTCGCACTCAATGCTGTAAGCGGGGTTGAACTCCGCATCTTTGCCGCCAGTCACGTTCACGTCGACCTTCCAGCGGTTCTTCGAGTCGTCCCACGTTGCGGCTTCGACGGATGTGTTGAAACGAATGTATTTGTACAGGTTGTACTTGCGGGCTACGTTGCGGAGATAATCCTGCAGCAAACGTTAGTGTTTATAAAATGAGGTAGATATGAAAGAAAGACGTACAAGTATCTCCTCTTGTCCCGGATACTCTCTCGTCCAATCTGGATTTTGTTCGAAGGAATAACTGTACAGCATACTCCAGACATCGCAGCAGCACCCCGGGTACTTGTTGTCATGCCATGTGCCGCCGACACTAGAGCTCTTCTCCACGATGATGAAGTTGTGACATTGGTTTCGCTTGATGAGGTCAATCGCCATACACATTCCTCGGTGATGTTAGCACGATGGAAATTAGATGGTCATTGAAGTACCTACCAGAGATGCCCGCTCCGATAATAACAACTGCGGCATCAGTATGGTCCTTGTTTCCGACAGGAACCTGTGGCCATGGCTGCGATCCTCCCATCTCGCTAAAGGTGACTTCTTTCAAGGGTCTGTGCTAGAAGGGAGTGTTTAATGGCAGAAACGAATTGGATGTAGAAACCCTCGAGAAGGGCGAAAGGACGAGTGGAGCCACGGGATAAAGCCTACCCCAAGAAACCG